CTACAGTCTATAAAATTCCCTCCAGCTTACTCAGAAGGAGTATTTACTAGGCAGAGAAGGCCAGGAATCCCATAAAGGTTGACACCCTGACTAAAAGTTCAATAAACTTTCACGTCTTCACTGGGACAAAGGATTGTGTAAACCCAAATGGCTCCAAATCTTAATCCAGGTAAGCATGTGTCATTACTGAGACACCAAGTGCTGAGGTTATTGGGTTCCAATCACTCTACTGTAGATCTTCATTAAAAGATCACCTTCTTGCACAAAATGGAGCTGGGCAAACAAAACCACCGGGAAGCCTGTATGAAATTAATCAACAGCCCAATTGCTTTGGATAACTGTCTATGTAACAGTTCTAGACAAAATCAGGAAATCACACACCCTCAGAAAGCAAGGAGAGTCCACTCCTGAAGACCACTTCCCTTGGATACCAATACTGGCTATCATCTCAGTACTCTCCTCCACCCTTTTCATAGGATCCCATTTGGATTGAATTATTTTCCTTTTAGTGGGATGCTGTATTTTTCTTGATTTTGGTCAGGGTCTAAACAACAACAGGCCTTTCTTCTATTTCTCTACTCCCTGAGGAGTTTACACTAGAGACATATCACCATTAACAGATTGCGAATAAACCCCAAAGGCAGTATTAAAGCAATGCTGGTTGTTCAACTAGCATGAATAAATTAATGTGCCCTGTTAAAGAAGTCCTGTTACGTTGATTTTTCAAGCTTGGTCTTTGATTTCTTCCCTTTCTCAGAAATCCAATTACTCCTTCTTATTTTCCTGCTGCTGATGTGAGACAGTATCTTGAATCCCTTTTGTTCTTTTAAATCATATTTATGTCCTCTATTAGATATTGTGGTGAACTTTCAGCTTCAGAGTCTTTGAAGCTGTTTTCTGACATTTTCGGGGCCTATCCATAGACAGATGGAAAGATGACCAAGAACATCTTAGATCTTTCTATTACTCGGTAATTATTTTTCTTATCTATTTTCCTGGGCAGTTCCTACTTTAAACAAGAAACCTTGCAAAGAAGGATTTTAAATTGACTGCCATGGTGACAAGGCAGACAGGTCTACAGAAATATTCAACCTATACCTGACTGAAAGCGTTAAAAAAATACCCTTAAAGAATGACTTTGGGAGAAGAAATAGATAAGTACTACATTTTATGGCAGTTAGCCGTATTAGCCGCCTTTGTTTTAATAAGGAAAGGCTTCCTTTCCCCTATCTCCTGTGCAGGCTGAGAAGTACTAAGAGAAATTTTACTGTTGTGGAATAAATATGATCTAATCATGCAGTATGAAAGTATTTCTGTGTAGTCAAACATATCTTGGTAATAAAAATAAAGAAAACACTCAGTAGCTGGTGTGTGAGGATATATAAAATACTCTACCAGAGCAAAAGCAATGGTTTGGAAATAATGTCTCTCTCCTGTCCTTGTGGAAGTACCTTTTGTATGCTGGAGGTGCCCAAGAGTAAATTAAAATAGATTTGGGAACGCAACCTATTCTCACTTTGAAATTGATCTCAGATATAACAAAATAACCTGTCAAACCTCTTATAATGTATGGACTTATCTAGATAATTGAATTATACATACATTACATACCAACCATACTGTGTGTCTTTCAAGCAACTAAGGAAGAGCCACACTAAGGAAATCCATGTAATGTACTGCTTATTGGCAGAAAAAAAGATATACCAGTTGGAGAAATCATCAGGGAAAAGCTGTGACAGCATAATTGTAAAAAAAGAAATAACAATCACAAGGGAATACTGAGTGAGAAAATTGCCTAGGAAGAAGGCAGTGTTCCCTGTAAGGATAAAAAGTCTGGCAAAAGAAAGATAATAAAAATGAGAGAAAAAAAGATTTATTATCAAACAACAACAAAAAAGCTTTTCAGCCTTTGGAAGGAAGTCAGATTTTGCTGATTTCACAGATGTAATGAAAAACTCAGACCGCAGTTAGCTCACTTCAGTATTTCTGTTTGTCAGAGTTAACATTAGAAAATGACTGAGGAGGTGGATAGACAGGAGGTCAGGCAGTGTGGGCGTCAAGAAGGATGAAAAGATAAAAGAACTTGCAGCAGTCAAAGAAGCAATGAGTGTCTGATGAGCCTGCCACGTCCTTTCAAATAAAAGAATAGCAAGATTTTAAGACGCCGTTTTCAAAAGACACTTGCCTCCCTTACAATAATAATTCAGAAGGCAGTAGGCTTAAAAAGAGTGATTTCTAAAATTTCTGAAATAGGTGAAGTCTTGACCTCAATAATAAGACTCTACCCTTGCTGCTTGCCCTGGAATTCTGCATAATGTGAGGCAAATCACCTAAAACTAAAGTTCTCACAGGTGGCCACTAATTGCATGCTTTTCATTTTCTAATCTTGACTTGGGAGCCTGGGATCTGGTTTGCAGACATACTAAGTATTTACAGCTGCGGCTGAAGTTATTTAAGTCTAAGGACAGCCAACTTTGGCCACTCTCCATTGCTCGGAACACAACCACCTGAGACAGACAGACAGATAGACTCAACTTCTGAGAGCAATGTTTAATCCATGCTATAAAGTTGAGAAATTGAACCTCAAAGCCAAAAGTAAAATTTGTCTAGGCGATTTCTGTACTTTTGTGCTCTATTACATCTCAGCTAATAAAGTCTCCTTGATTCAGAAGTGGCATGCTGCCTCCTTTCTAACTACCTTTTGGACCAAAGTCCACCTCTAAATCGCCCTCTCTTGGCAACAGAACTGTTGGTTTTCTCTATATTTATTTTCCCAGCCCATGGTGGTTGTTCTTATAAATTCTGCAGCCAGCTCTGGGAAGGTCAGCCCTGACCTATGTAAAGAAGGCACAGCCCAACTCCACCCAGAGCTTCTACACTGCATTCCTCAAAAATTATAAAAGGATCAGATATGTCCAAGTCTCCACAAGGTATAATGATGAATGTTACACACAAGAATAATAAATAAAAGTTTTCAGAGTAGGAATGAGCAGTACGCCAAAAGGAAGGTAAAAGTCCACATGTCAAGCAACAAAGAAAAAAATATATTGTTCTTTGTGTGAGCACCATTCATTTGACATTTCTAGGGAAAAAGTGGTTTTCAATGTAACTGTAGTCCTCCTACGCAACCCTGGGAGCCATTTAAAGTTACAATTCTGGTTTGGAGATGGCAAAAGTGATTAATTACTTTCTGAAGGCGCCTATCCCAGGTACCTAAAAAGTAACTTAAATTAGATTTCCAATTTTTAAGCAGCTAAAAATATATATACTTGATGATACTGAAAGAAAAAGGAGTTAAGGCTAGATGCTCAACCTCAAGTCTATAATTTCCTTAATTCTACATGCTTGGCTTTCCCAACTTTAACCCATTATAGACAGTTTTTTATTTTATTTTTATGTACTGGATACGTGAACTTTTCAACCTATTTGTGTAATTCAGCTTTTCAACAACCTAAAATTGAGGTGTTTCCTTTTTTCTTTTTAAATAAGGCAGTATTCAGAGAGCAACCCTACACATGTAGAAGACATTAGACAAAAATTTTATGGGCAACGTTAAAGTTATAAAATTAACTTTCCATATTGCAAACATTATTATGTCCCACTTCATCTTTTTCTGCTGATTTCAGGGAAGAGCTGTATTTAGTGACACAAGCAATTGTATGATGCCCGATTTTCCCTGTGTTGGCTATTCCACTTCTTGTTTTTCCAAACATAAGGAAATCATAGAATCACAAATCTTCTCATTACCACAAACAAATTTTTCATAAAGATTTTTTTCCCCCATGTCTACAGGAAACTGTAAAAAAATCTGTGCTATAAAGATTTTCTCTTAAAAAAGAGGAAAAGTCAGAATGAAATATCTCATTTCCTGTCTAGGTGAAGATCAGCCCCATATTTTACTATAGTACTGATTAAATATATATGAAAATATCCAAAAGTCAATTTTTTCATTTAACAAAAACCCATATGTCTAGCATATTCTTAAATAATTTTGTAACCTTTTTTGTATCTGACACTTAATAACCTCATTTTGTATTTGATAGCTTATAGGCCATAGTTTAGAAAAATCTTTAACACAAGAGTTTTGCGATAATCAGACTTTTAATTCAGCACGGTGGCAGACTAAGCAGTGTTTTGCTTTCTTATAATGTCTACTCTGTTTATTTTATGTTCTGTCAAATTCAATGCAGGAATAAAAGGATCCAATTTTGACTAAAGCAAAGGCTACAACTCCAGAGCTAACACTTCCCTATCCAAAGAAACAGGGACAAAACAATGAAACAGACATAATAGAATCTCACGACGTAATGGTGGTCCAGCATACAGTCAAGCCCTCAATTCAACAGGACACATAAGTGTATACTTATCTGTGATTTTATGAGCCATCCAGGTGACAAGAGGCTATACTGTACGTCAAGTTAAACTTGTGTTTAAGTATGTGCTGAATCAAAAACATGATGTGTACTCGATTACCAGTGTAAAGTATTAATCATAAGTATTTTCCAAAGGCTGGGTAAAAAAGGGTCTTTAAATCTGAGCATCAGGTCCCAGTGACCTCTTAATCCAGAAAGCATGTGAGATTCTAGGGGTAGTTCTGCCTTTAGTTCTGCCTTCAGGTCTGGCCCCACACCCAGACATTCTGGGAAAAGATAGAATACAGTGAAAGCTGATGAATCATCTGTGACCAAAATCAGCCGCAAGTGGCAATGCTCCTCTTAAAGCCTCCTCTGCTCTCCTGCTCTCTCACACCCTCACACACATACACAGTCACTCACGCCCTAACTCAGACTGCAGCCCAATGCCATAATTTGTAATCTGTCACAGTTAAAATTTGCATTTTTCATCATTCCTAACTTTTTTGTTTCCCCAATTTATCTTAGTGTATTTTGGTGGACTACTTTTAAACTATTAAGTCCATTTCACATCCACTGATGCTAACTACTATTGTACACTTGCACTGAACGAACAGCTCCATGTCATGCCTGCACAGGCTAACTCACCCTGGCTGTGTGTCATCGGTCACACAATGGTATGTAAAAGTTCCAAACATCTGCACTCCCAGGATCCCGTACAGGAGGAGAAAGAACAGAAGGAAAATTGAAACGCTCCAGATTTGCTCTCCGGAACGCCTGGGAAAAAGATAAAGATGACACTGAATGCACAGGCAACGTGAAGCCTCCTCTGAAAAGCTCCAGAATAGAAAATGTGCTCACACAGAGAAAGTACTATTTCATCCTGCAGAAAATTTGTCCTTAAAACTGATCTCTCACTCTGTGCAGAGATAGAAAAGGGAACCATGTTTTTTTTCTAAAGCTGTACGTTAGGGTAATTAAACCAGCTGTAAACTACAAAGGGTGGAACAAAAACAAACCCAAACAAAATGTATAACATCCAGCTTTTGCAAAATATCTAAAATATCTAAAGATTTAAACAGGCAAACTATGATGATGAAGCAACGTTGATACCAAATAAAGACCAAAAAAGTCTTTCACATTACCATTACGTGGCTTTTACCATTACATGCTGTATCAAACATACTTACGTGTGTTTGCCTGCACATATGCATCTCTGTACGTATACCAGTACGCATACACACATACATGTAATGGTTAGGGCATGTGCTTATGTATTTTTAGTTATGAATAATACCCTACTATGCCCATCGCGGCAAAAGCCACGCCGCTGCGGGGGGCGGTGAGGCACGGCTCATTATTAAGTTCCCGTCTTAATGGAACAGAATTTACTGCCATTGGTTGAAAATTGCTGGCTACAGTTATTAGCAAAAAGCTTATTTAAATTTTCAACAGCTTTGATAATTTTATAGGAAACTTGATGACTCCTTAAATACAGAAAAGCAAGATTTTTTTTTTGGCCAGAACTAAAACGCAGGAAGAAAACGCCTGAAGCATGAAGGGTCATTCTCTGAGCTGCACAGTCAGTCTTCTAAGTCAAAATGGAAATTTCCTCTGTTGTTCCTCAGAAAACAGACTTACTTACTTCAAGATATTTGTTATCCTCGTTCTTGGCAGCTCAAAACGAAAATATATCCGGAATGCTCGAATCATAATGAGTGGTCGTGGAATCCGTAACATGCCCCAGGGTGACATCTGGTCAACTATTTCAGCAATTTCAAACACCTACAAACAAAAGAATCAGGAGCTTTTCTTGATGACTCTGCCCTGTTCCTGTGTTCATTTACAGAACTTTTAAAGCTATACATGATTTTTATTATCATATTCAATATTCTCTTTGTTTATTTTATGGTTCATTTTAACCATGTTTTTAAAAGAAAGTCTTAGTAAATCCTTTAATCCTTTTCTAGGTCATCCTAATGAAATTCCAAAAATATACTCTGCCTATGTTCATAATGCTTCTGTCTCAAACAACTCAGGAAGAGTGTGCAGGCTTGTGTCAGCTACCTGCTTCTATGCCAGTCCTACCCCGCAAGTTTCCCACAACTTCATTTAAAGGGAATAATTTACGTTTCCAAATATGAAAATCAGTATCTGTTAATGTTGCACACCATTAAGGTTTTTATTATGATAGAAAAGTACACATACACAGATCGCCTTATGAGTTGCAACACACTTATAAATTCTCCATTCAATTCTAAGTGCATGAGAAAACTGTACATGTTCTTCTCCTCACCTCCTTTTACGACACAAATTTCAGTCAAGCCACAGAACAGGGAACCATTTCCTTAATACACTGACAGGTTAGGCATGCCATAAAGACTATTTAGCTTAATGACTGGGTGAAAATGTCCCGTTTTAATGCTTGTCTCTTACTCCCTGAGAGTAAGAGCTTAATTTAATATTTGCTCAAAGTACTAAGGAAATGGAGGGGAAATCTGGCAATGCATAAACTGGGTAATCTACGGGTGCATATCTGGAATGGTCAACCTTCACTCTATGTACATGATGTACCAAAGTTTCCCCTGTGTATAAAGCAAAAAATTAAAACGCGTCCTAAATTTGTCAGAAGTGGGTAAGTTATGCCTAACAGCAATCACTATAGAACTTTTATCATCCTTATACTGTTGCAGGCCCAGTCTCACAGTCGTTAGTCTGTTCTTACCCAAAAACTAGCTATGGCTAAGGACTGATTGGTTTGCAGGACACAATTTGACCAGTACCTTAACACTCTATGCTGTTTTGCAACGTGTCCAAGTTCCCTTCTTTGTGAAAATTTATCAAATTGTTTCCAAAAGTATTTATTATTATATTTTCCTTTGTGCTTTAACTTGAATTTTGGAAAAGGTTTTGTTAGGTGTGGACCATCTTACATGAAACCCCCCTACTCCCCATATCAATACACCTACAGCATGGCAAACATCTGCCATTGGAATCATTCTCCCTTTAGCTGCCAAAGCTACTCACCATGGCATCCTACTAGACTCAACGGAAGGAACTGAGCACAGCTGTCATATGGAGTAAGAGAAAAATGGCCCTGTGAAGATCCCTCTCTCTCCTTTTGACTATGCAGAGGGTTTATGATAAGAAGCTTCAGATTAATGTATAACTTCTCAACAGAAAAACCAAACAAGGTAAGTTCTACTACTGATGTAGATACGCTGCAATGTGCAATTAGGGAGCTATTGAATTCAGCACAGCTTTTTAGAAACAATTTGACCCACGTACAGCTAGACTTCCACAATTTGTAACTACTTGGCTGTGCCATGTATTTGTCCCAATTAAGGAACTATTCACTTAAAAAGATAAGTGAAATAATTACCTGTAAAACCAGTGACACCCATAGACAGAAGACCATGAATCCATCAAACACACACCAACGATCCTTTACATAGGAGCTATCACCCTACAAAAGAGAAAAAAGCTCAGGCTTTAAAAATATAAATTATACTGTCAGGCTTTAAAAATACCATAAATAAAAGTTCTTGGAAGAAGGAAAATTCTTCTCTGTACTACTTTCAAAACGCCACTCTTGAAAGACTCCAAAAGCCTAGTATCTGGGCTCGAATATGCTGGAAACATATAAACACAGCTTCTGGGTGAATAAATGGTAGCTTCGTTCTTGTGTGGTACTTCTCAGCTCGTGTCAAAAAGAACTTATAAAGAGACGTATTACTTACACTTTGACGCAAATCAAAAAACACACAAAAAATTAACATTGGCCTCACTTTTGCACAGTGTTGCCCATTACAAAATACTTGCACAGGAATGTAAATGTAAAATATCAGCAGTTTCGTATTGTGCCATTAAATTACTTCAATAATGTTCAACAGCTTCAATTAAATCAGTACCATTTTGCATTTTTTTTTTGTGTAAGTTTTCAATCATTTTTCATGCTCTAGAAAAATCTTGCCATTTCCAAAACTCTAGACAATAACCACCATCTCATCACAGTGTACGGCTTCAAGGTTTTTGGACGTTTCCTGAGCAACTCTTTACCATCTCAAAATGACAACTCATTCTTTAGACTTCATTAATAATTTGGGACTCCACTAATTGCCTAGCACGAGGATTCAGAGCATACCTTTGCACTACTATATAAAAGAAACTCAGGGAAGAAAACTGAGCACCGGATCCTTGACGACCCATCTGCCCTCCTACCTGTTCTCTGGCTCCGCTTTGGACTCCTTCAACCAGCCCTCTAAAACAGCGCCTGAGCACGGGTTTGGTTTATAGTCCAACCCAGAGATCGCTGCTTAAAGGCAACATGGAGAAGACTGCATCCAAGCTCAGTTTCCTCCATACTACACTATTCTCAACCACTGCTCCAGTTCGCGTGCTTAGATATCCCTATGTCTCACGATGACTTGCAACACAGGCCCTTCACCGCAAGCTATAGAAACACTTCTTTGGTGAGCTGCTAATGCCTCACACTTTACTTCCACCACAGAGCTGAAAAAAAAATCTGCATTTATTAGGTATATTATGGCTAAGAGTTAGATAGTTTTGTGCACCACATGGAGCGTAGAGGAAGTTGGGGACGAAATGCATATAGACAGATGCAGCTTGTCGAAAGGCAGACTAGACAAGACTAGACCTGAGGAAAGCGGATATCCCAGTTTCACAGTGTGTAGCAGTAAAAACATATGCAGAGGCATTGGCAGTCTATCTCTAGGCACATAAACACACCTTTCCAAAAGAGGCTTCTCCTAACAGATTGAACATACCCTCCCCTGCCTTATAGTTATCTGGTTCCATTTCTCTCTTCAGTGTTCTTCCAGATACAAATTAAAGTGTTTTTAACATCCACTTCTCACAGGTATGACCGGGGAAAAATTGTCAGGTCTCAAGAATCTTGAAGACATTACTGGACTTTGGCCTGTTATGTGATTCCTGGCTTGATATACATTGTTTCTTATCTCAGTGAGAGTTATTTCAGTCAACCTGTACTTGTTTTCAAATGTATCATCATTTTCATTGATTCTAAAAGCACAGATGAGATGTTTTGTTTTAATCTAATATTTTCAATGACACACACTATACTAAAAATGATTTATCAGTCCTTGCAGTAAGTGACAGCAAGATATATTGTGTAAATAGAGACAAAATATATTTTTTTCAATAAAGTTTTATTTCAGTTGCAAGAATTCTTCAGAGCAGAAGTGAACACACTAAGGACATAAGGAAAATACAGCAAGTGATTTTCAAATCAGAAATAAAGGACAGAAAACTTCAACACTATTTTCAGACAGATGATATCCTAACATGTAAGGATGTTAAAGTTCTCCTCAAGCCAATAATTAAGAGGAGGAAGACTGCAAATCAGGGAAACGACAGGACAGGAACTTTTGCTCCGTAATTCTAACCTGTCCTTCCTGAAGAAAGTAGACTTAGTTCCCTAAGTAAAGTCTGAGCTAATCAGAAACTCTTCACTCAAGGTTGAACAAACTCTGCTGCGAAGCAAATACATGTTATTCCTCTGTGGAGATTAGCTACCAACACCCTAAATCTCTTACCAGTCTCACCTCTCACCCGGCTCCCCCTTAGTGAACAAATCTCTGGTGAGATTTGTATCAACATGCAACTTGAGTCCTTCAATTGTGGCTCTGAACAAAGATGCTGATTGGCCTTTCTCTCACTGAAGAACTCTTTGAAACTTACTTTTTTCCTCTTAAGCACCCTTAGTCTAAAGCAAGAAGTTTTCCCTGAGTTGTGCTGTACAGATCTGAGCATGAACTCGTGCTTTATTCATTCTCCTTTGAATAACACGTGGAGTACTCACTAAAAGCCAAATCTTTTTTTAGAAAATGCTTTTTCTCTCCACAATATGTGTGGCATGATTGAAGCAGCTCTGCTGTTTTCTCCTTACAAAGGAAGATGTCGTGACCCTTTCCAGTCTACTCCCCATTCAGGCGGCTCCACCACCTCACTTCTCTCATTGTCACGTCAGGCCAGCTTCCCCCGCTACATCCTCCCTGTCAGGGAGGCTTTCAGTGGATCACCCACAGAAACTTAGGGCACCTGAATTACTTCTGTAGAAACTACTCATCCTGGGGGAGGTTTTGGCCCTTTCCGCTCTGCACGGAGGGAGGCTTTGGCTAAATCCTTTTCATGTTTGTCATTTGGCTGGCAGTGGACACGGTGGGGAATCTTTAATGCATTTATACTGTGTATTCGCATGTGGGATGTTATTTGGCGTTGGAAGCACATTTAAGGCAGGACCTGCTTAATGCAAAAATCAGAATATACTTCTTAGTATGAAGCTTGATATTGACTACTAGTGCTGCTTCCATGAAAAATTTAATTCTGACTAAACACGGGCTAGCACTCACATATTAATAGCAACGAGGACTGAGTTTCGTTCACATTTAAAAAAGCCTTGGGCTGAAATTCCACACTCACAGTGAATGGCAGCCTGTTCTTCGACTTGGAAAGGAACACAGATAGGCGAAATTTAAATACATGTCGTTACATCTTACCTAAAATTGCTGAATTATTGCAATGTTTTAATCCCTCACCCTTTTTTCATCATGTCTGCTGAAATTTGAGAATCATTGATGAGATTTTTTTTAGAATTTTCTTGTGAATGTACTATCCCAGTCCATTTACATTCTGGTTTGTAAGTCTTTGAAATGTGGTCTAAACATTTGCAAAAGATGAAGAATTAGTACTGTACCCTAGAAGCCTCTTGCTGAGACTAATCCAAAACTCTTAAAGTCATTAAAGTGTCTGACTCCCTACTGCTTACAGCGGACAGTGAAGTCTTCAAGGTGCACAGCAAGTCCTGAAAGCTACTTCAGCAACATGACTTACAGTCTATCTAGACAACAAAATCATCTGCTTCTGACAGAGCAGTGGATGCCAGTCCACTCACGCAGCCCATGACCGCAGGCGTGCGACAGCCTTTGGAAGGCTTTTGCGCAGTAAACCATGCTCTCACTTAATGCCTCTCCCAGGCAAACTAAGGGGTGCTGCTCGAACTCAGTGGACTAGCTAAGAGCTATTAAAGACTAAGGATTTTAAGATATGTAAAACATTTGAAGTCCAAAGCAGCAATACGGCTTAGCTGTTAGACAGATCAATCTTTCCTTTGTTGGAGGCATATTCATTATTCTGTATTACCCTTCCTTGTCTCCCCAAACAGTTTCTCCTAATATGCTTACATCTTTTCCCTCAGTATTTATTTACGACAGGTCAGCATCACCGTTAGGCTAGTACACAACCATGGAAATTACTTTCCTGGTAAACCACACATGTGGCATGGATCAAAAGTCTGCCTCTCTCTTAGAGATGCTAATCTGAATTAATCTTAAATTTGACATCCCAGAAGAACAGACAACAGTCTGTAATTAAAATATTCTCTGCCCTAAAACAATTTAACTTAATTTTCTATGGCAATGTTGCCATAACTAAGGAATAATACCTCAAGTTCAGCATAAGATCTTAGTGTTTCTTTACCTATTCAAAGACAGGACCAACAAGTAATTCTCCCTTCTCCCCCCATTCTCCTTATTTCACCAGTTTGTGCCTAATTTTAGCACCATTACATTAACTGAGTACAATGTATTAGCTCATTTCTTCATGTTTTATTTTCACGTGCAATACTAATACCCCAATAGCAGCACCAAGATGACAGAAGATATATTTTCTCAATTATAACCAGCACATTAAAGATAAAACACCAATTGACAGTATTAGGTGCCCTAAACAGTTGTTACACAAGTTCACAGAAGAAAACGTATTTAACAACACTTAACTCATTGGAAATGTGAGCCAATGCAAAACACAAACAGAACCACAGACAGAAGTAGTAAGACCTGAGGGAGTCACTCGCTGAGAGCCATTACAGTTTAACTTAGACCAGAAGGGAAGACTACCCAGGCTGTAATTTTTACTAGAAGTTTATTCTATTATCAACCTTGCTGAAAACAAAATACTCTATGAAATCAACATCCGATTGCATAAAGCAAGCTGCTAGAAGATTGATTATGTCTGCTAATTTTGTTAAGCAATTTCAGTACCTCATTGGTAAGGCAGACAGCTTAGCCAGATGATAGCATAGCCACCTCCAAGGTCAGTTCTGCGCTGCTTATCTCTTAACATCTCGGGAACACCTCAGGATGAACAGCAAATCCCTGCAAGTGAAAAGCCTCCTCTGCCTCCCTACTTGCCTTCAGGAATTTCTTTTTCTCTCTCATCCCTGCTACAACATGTTCTCTGAATCCTTCCCTCCTGCCTCTTTCCAGCTGCCTCTGCGGGAAAGCTAAATAAAAGAAGTGATATGACATTTGCTCTGAGTAATCAGATTTATCATCTGTTCTGGAAAGGAATCCTGTAGTCTTGGGTCTGTCATTAGGAGAACCTTAGTCTCCCGCTTTTCCTCACAGTCTCTGACAAATAGGATAG